GGGTCACCATTTGGGAACACAGAGGTTATTGGCAGCCTTGATAAGACTAGTTTTAATAGAGAGGTGATAGTTAAAGGTAGATCAGATGAACTGAGGGAAAAAAATGGAAGATAATTGCCTCTCTCTTATAGGTGTTTCTCCAGACATTTGTTAAGTGAATTTCATGTATACCACATAGCCTATATTTTAAGTCAAACGATCCAGTTTTGGTGAAAATCTGCCCAGTATTTTTATTCAGTACTAACAAACAGAAAATTACTTCCCTGGGGGTTCCCTCACTGTCCCAGACAAGACTTGTGCTTTCTTGCATCCAAGTTTTTGCCCTCACTACTCAACAACTCAAAACACCCTTAATCCAAGAAGGTGTAACTGATCCTTTTGACTCCTAGCCTGTCACCTAAGAGTATCATTCATTTGGCATTCAGCCTCAGCTTCCTATTTTTGTTTGGTTTCATTTAGTTAATGTATCCTAGCTCTTCAACTTCCACAGTAGTTCTCTGACTTCCAATTCTAGCTTCCATAAAAGCCAATGGTTATTTCTTTCTGCCTCCATAGCACTTAGTGCATATAGTAAGTATGTATATTAAGAATTTTATAGATATATTAATTGATAAAGCACAAGTCTAACTCAAGGAATTAGATATCCTTACTCCAATAAATTACTCTAACTGCAGCTATTGTTTTTATAATACTAGCCTAGATTTGGCCAAAAAGTCTCTTTCAAATGCTAGTATTAAGCTTTCAGACAATGAAGACTAAATACAGAAGATTTCCCCCTCCCCTCAATAACTGTTTAAAAAGTTCTGTTGAGGCATTTCATTTTTAATTACTGCAAGTAGAAAAATACCATGATGTTCCATATTCTTGTTTTATTTAGTTTCCCTTACAGCATTTACATTCAGGGATGGTTTATTTGTTTATAAACCTCAAAGGTTAAAAAAAAAAATTATTAGGAACCATACATTTGAATGATTCAAAAACATAACTTAGGTACTGTAATTAGCACAACTTGTACAAGGTAAGGTCACGGAAGCCCCACAGACACATCCAAACTCCCTGAGGGACTGAATTGCTGGGCGGAGGGATGTGGGGACCATGGTCTCAGGGAACATCTGGCTCAACTCACATGACACAGCTTATAAAGACAATGCTCTACATTCTACCTTGGTGAGTAGTGTCTGGGGTCTTAAAAGCCTGTGAGCGGCCATCTAAGATACTCCACTGGTCTCAACCCTTCAGGAGCAAGGGAGAATGAAGAGAACAGGATACAAGGAAAAGATTAGTTCGAAGGACTAATGGATCACAGCTACCAAGGCCTCCACCGGACTGAGTCCAGTACAGCTAGATGGTGCCCGGCTACCACCGCTGACTGCTCTGACCAGGATCACAACAGAGGGTTCTGGACAGAGCTGGAGAAGGATGTAGAGCATAATTCTAACTCACAAAAAAAAAGACCAGATTTACTGGCTTAAAGGAGACTGGAGAAACCCTGAGAGTATGGCCCCCAGACACCCTTTTAGCTCAGTGGTGAAGTTATCTCCGAGGTTCACTGTTCAGCCTGGGAGCGGACAGCCCCAAAAAACCAAATGAGACTAACGAGGTACAGTAGTCCAGTGGCAAGGGCCAGAAGGCAGAAGAGGACAAGGAAGCTGGTGATAGGGAACCCAAGGTTGAGTAAGGATATTGTTGATGTGTTGTGAGATTGTTAACCATTGTCATAGGGCAACATTTGTAGTAACTGTTAAATGAGAAACTATTTTGTTCTGTAAGCCTTCATCTTAAATGAGAATAACAGCACAATTGGAAGAGTATAGTCAATGTCACTGAACTGTGCATGTAGAAATTTTCAAAATGGTGTATCTTTGGCTATGTGTATTTTCACCAAAAAAAAAAAAGGTTGAGAAGTTAGAGGGTTGACATGTTGTGGGGTTGTTAACCAATGTCATAAAACAATATGTGTACTACTGTTTCATGAGAAACTATTTGTTCTGTAAGCCTGCACCTGAAGTACAGTAGAAAAAAATAAAATTACCAAATCATAATTTATTTCAATATGTGAGGGCTTAGAGATGTGAATACATATGGATCTCCTAAAGGTATCAAACCACTTTGAATCGGACTTCAGACTGCCTCCTTTTACTTAGTCACCACATTCAAGGGCTGCTGAGTTAGGGCAGTAACTAGCTTCACTGCCACTGTCTTACTCAGGCCTTCATCACTTCAGGCCCTGGTGGTGTAGTAGAAACCCTATGGGGCGGTTCTACTCTGTCCTGTAGGATCGCTATGAGTCAGAACTGACTTGAGGGCACTTAACAACAACAACAACGTAACTTCTTCCGATTACTTCATCCTAATTGATCTCCATGCTTATGGCATCAGATTCCTTCCCCAACCTAATTCTCTTTCTGCAATCTCTACTTAAACAAAGTGGTTAGATACCCAGACAAATATCCATGCCAGAAACCTAGTAGTTCTCTTGTGTTGTTGCTGTTGTGTGTTGCCTAGTTGATTCCAACTCATAGCAACCCTATAGTACAAAGTAGAACTGCCCCATAGGACTTCCTAGCCTGGCAACAGGTTTGGTTTAATCTTTACGGGAGAAGATTGCCAGGTCTTTTCTCCTAGGAACTGCTGGTGGGTTCAAACTGCTGACCTTCTGATTAGCAGTGAAGAGCTTAACCACTGTGCCATCCGGGCTCCTTGTAGTTCTCACAGACTTTCAAAAATGTAAATCTGATTATGTATAAATATCCTTATAAAGTTAAGATTTTGTCCTTAAGTGTGTAAACATATATAAAATCCCCTCAGGAGCTATCATCTGCTCACTTTCTCAGTTTCACTTCTCATGTCGCCTTTATTGTAGACTTACTTAACTACTAGGTTTCCCCAAACAGGCAGGGGAACTGTTTCCTTACATCAGTGCCTAGGCCACTCTTCCCTCTGTCATCTCCCATTCACTCCTCAAAAATTCAGCTCAGGTGTCATTTTCTCTTAGAAGTCTTCCCTGAGCCCCCCAAGTGGGCCCCTTCTCATTATTCCCACAATATACTATGCATGCTTTAACTATTGCCCTTATCCCACTTAATTGTAATTATTTGTTTACTTTTAGGACTTCCCTTGAAGGCAAGGGCTGGATTTTTAATTTCTACATCTTGGATATTGAGAAAAATGACTAGAACGCTGTAGGTACCCCTAATGCTTGCTGCAATCAACAGTATCTTAAATGTCTCAGAAATACTACTTTCAGATTAGACAGAGAGCGTGGCACAATAACAGTGTAGCGAAGGATATAAACAAAGACAGCCTGAAATATTAAGAATAAATTCAGGTTAACATGAAAGTCAAAGCTGTGCAGTCACAGGGGAGGAGTGAGAACTACTGCTAGAGAGGATTGCTGTCCAGCAATCAGAAGTAGAAAAGCTCACACAAAAAGCCTTAGCCTCTAACATGAAAAAGCTGGCAAAAGTTTAGCATTAAAAAACCAGTGGAGAAGGGGAAAGTAAAAAACCAACTACTTCCTTTAACACATACAAGGAAAATCCTGGTCAATTCACAAACCAGGTTAGGCAGAAAAAGCTAGCTATATTTAAGTCAGATTTGCACAGCGACCGTCTTCCTTACATGCACCTGCTTGCAATATTTCCCTCAGAACTGTAGAGTAAGGTCAATGCGGAAAGAGGTGAAAGTGACAAGCCTTAGAGAAGTGGATAGTTAACAGCAATTATAAACCCCAAATTCCTGACACCAAGGGAACAGAGGTTTTCCCATGTTCCAAAACCACATACTAACAATACAGCCGAGACAAAGAAGAGTGGTGTCCCAATTTGAACAAAGCCATATATATTCCCTTTTGAAACTAGGTTTTTTTGTTTACCTTGCTCTTTTGTATTTTGCCTGTTTTGACCTTCCTGCACAAATTAACACTATATTTAAGCCAGAAATAAAACTGACACTAACCGCCAGGACATGATAATATGCCTTTAAAATACATTTTTAAAATTCCTCCTAGAGTAGTTAAACGTTAATTTACTGGTAAAACAGATCAGTTGTCCCAGGATTGAGCGATTTGGAGTATTACGACGCTTCCACCTCATGATTTCTTCATGAAAATTGTAACAGAGTTGGGGGTGAAAATGCAAGTTGCGGAGAGACTGGAAGGCATTAGTTCTCCAAAATGACTTTAGGAAAAAAGTACAATGATGGACAGAAAGCAATAATAGGCAATAAAACTTTCTGTAAGTTCCAAATATTCCTTGATTAGAGTCTTAAAACCTCTATCCCTACATACAAGAAATACCAGAGCAAGCTGGGAAGCCACATGCTATCTCGGGCTGGCTCAGACCCACAGGTTTCTCAGGTTCGCCCAGAAGATAGTCCGAAACGACCTCGCTAGAGATGTAGAGATTCCAATTTTCATCCCGCATTACTATGTCCTGGGGCTTTCTCAAGGCCCAGGGCCCGATGGAGGGAAAGAGAAGGAATGAGCGGAAAGGAACCTGAAGAACCAATAACCAGATAGAAACTTCTAAATACATACACACATTTACACAGACACACAGCGATATACCGTTGCCGTGGAAACCAAGCCAACCACTTAACTCCTCCTCCCGGACCTAGGGACCCATTCTTGTGGACCAGGGGTCGTGAGCTGGAGGAAGCTGGGATCGGGAAAGGGAAGTCTTCTCTCGCGGCACCACCCCGAGCCTCGTTCCCCTAAATGCCTACCGAATAGAGAAGCACGACCGCGCTGGGACTGGTGGAGCCGACAGATAAACAAGAGTTAGGTGAACTGGAAGAATCCATGGTGCAGCTGCCGTCCCAGGCGGGCCTGGGGTTCCTTGCTAAGCGAAGGTGGTGCTGCAGCCTCTGGGGGCGGTTCTTCCGCGCGGGGCGGCCCGACCTCGCCTAGGGCGATGGCACCCTCTGCGGCCGCTCCAGAGGACCCCGGGCGCCGCCATCTTAAGCAGGACGGAAGCCGCGTGGGGACGTGCCGCGCGCGCGCAGTCCCGCCAGGAACCCGGAAGCCGAGGCGTGGCGCGGTGTGGGCTTGAGTTCCCCACCTGAAGACCCCCATGATGGCGCAGGAGGAGGGGCTGACGTCCAGCGCGCCTGCAAGCTCTCAGACGCTGCTGGATGCTCTGCTCCAGAACCTCTACGACTTCGGTGAGTGCGGGCCGCGGGAGCCCACGTGGAGAGCGGACATGAGAAGCGAGGGTCTACTGTGCATCAGAAACTGATGGGAAGGGGCTTTCCAACTCGTCCAACCTGGTTCCGACCTGTTCCTGGGTCTGAGATCCCCTATCCCCCTTCCCCTTGATCGGCTCTGTTGAGTTATTCTCATGAATCAAGCCTCCAACTCTTCCCTGAGTGTGCAAGACCAGCCTGGTTAGCTTTTCAGAAGCACCAAGACTCATAGTTCACTGGTGTGATTCACGCACAACCTTGGACTCTGGAAATAGCCCATTTTGTCACTTTTTTTGGACCCCCTGGGGACCCCCTCTTTACCCCTTGGTCCCCTGCCCGGTGCTGACGAGACCTGCTTGACCCTGGTACCTTGGTCTACCTGGTCACGTTGGGACCTCAGGCCAGTCATTGGGTGATTCACTACCCTCATCATTCAGGCGTCCCTTGGTGCAAGGACTCCAGAGAAGATTTTCACAACCTTTTTTACGTAAGTTGGCCGACCTATGCTCTCCTTCGTTTATTTTAATGGGAGACAGGAAAATTAAAAAAAGCTTATTATTAAAGTTTAGCTATGCGCCCGACTCTTCAGTAGGAAGGTGGTCCCTCACACTCAGAAGAACTTGCCCTAGGAAAGTACAAATCCCTTATACATGCACCAAAGATAATCATAAGACATTAGCGTTTTGGGAGGCCTGGTGGTGCAGTGGTTAAGAGCTCGGCTGCTAACCAGAAGGTCTGCAGTTCCAATCTATCAGCTGCTCCTTGGAAACCCTGTGTACTTTGGATTCTATACATTGTGCAAATACGCTGCTGTTTGAAGGAAAACGGTAGTGTATTTCTTTGCGTGTACTCCTGGGTGCTTATAGCTGTCGCATATGCACAAGTGCCTTCATATGGTTTAATATTAGTTACTGCTAAAACCAAAAATACTTATTTTTCCTTTTTGTGCTTGAACGAACAGGAGAGAGGAAAGATGAGACAAAACAGAGAATTAAAAAGAAAAGGGAAAGCAAGAAGAGAGATTTGAGCACCGCAGCAGTGTTGGCAGAAGGACCAGCTCTTCCACCTGATTCTCTTGTAAGAGGCCAAAGGAAAAGTGCTTCCAGCTTCTTCAAGGAACTCAGAGAAGAGCTGCATTGTGCTCCTGCTGTGACCTCCACATCTTTCTCTTCAGAACCAGAAGTCGATTCTGCAGTATCTCACTCTCTGAGGAACAACAGGGAGCTAGTAGAAGTGGTAGAATTTCACAGCAGACGCCAAAAAAGAAAACTGAAGCCTGGCCAAGATGAGATCCCAAAGGTAAAGAGGTGGTTTATTTATACAGCTGTATAGTGAAACCCCTGATATTGAGATATTAGATGAGTAACTTTAGATTCCACATGACCACGGTCAGACTTGAGGACTTGCTAAAAGGACTCATGGGACTCAGAAGTTGTTGTACCTCTGGTTACAGTTTATTACAGCAAAAGGATACAGAGTAAAATCAGCAAAGGGAAACAGCACATGGAGTGGAAGTCTAGAGGAAACCAGGCGTAAGCTTCCAAGTGTTTCCTTCTAGTGGAGTCGCAAAGTATGTGCTTAAGTGCCCCAGAAACAATTTGTGACAGCACATGCAAAAGTGTTGTCAACCAGGGGACACTGCTGAGCCTGATGCCCAGGATTTTTATTGGGGGTTGGTCACGTAAGAATGCAGTGCTTGTGTGACTGTCGTCAGTTACTGATGTTCCAGATCTCCAGACGGAAAGTATGTGTTAACCACAAACCACGGTGTTGGTATAAACTACCTGAAGAAACGAGTACAGTGTGGCTCAAAGCCTCAGGTGTGCAAAAACACTTTTATCACACAGAATATATTAAGCTCAGTTCCCAAGAGCCAGTCAAGGGCTAGTCATGAAAATAGGACTGACTTGCGAATGTGTAGGGTTTGATAAACCTAGGCCTCTGAGTTAACGTTTTCCCACTCATAGGCCTTCTGCTTGAATAGTGCTACAGAAAATTCAGTAATTCAGCATCCATTTCTGGTGCTCCTACTACATGCTAGCTATTGTTCTAGGCACTAGGGATAAAGTGATGAACAAAATATATAAAACCTCACCCGCATAGAGCTTGCATTCTGGTAGGGAAGAGGTTTGGTTTCACTGAGCACAAGGGAGCTGTGATTGCCCATCAAAACTGTCTCTTTTCCACAAGGATATCATAATGGCTCTGTCAAATTCATTTTCTAAAATCCAGATATTCCATTTGTGTAGCGTTCCTCATATCCTATAAAAACTTTGTCTACTAAAAAAGGAAATGAGGGTTATATTAGTTTCCTGTAGCTGCCATAACAAATTACCACAAACTGAATGGCTTAAAACAACAGAACTTTATTTTCTCCCAGTCGTGGAGGTCAGAAGCCTGAAATCACATGTCAGCAGAGCCGTACTCCTCTCTAAAGGCTCTGGGGAAGAATCTGTTTCTTGTCTCTTCCAACTTCTGGTGACTGCAGGCTTGGGGCTGCACCACTCCAATCCCTGCCACATGTTCATATGTGTGTCTGAGTCTCAATTCTCCCTCTTTCTCTTGTGAGGACTCTGTCATTGGATTTAGAGCCCACCCTAAATCCAGGATGGTCTCCTCTTAAGATCCTGACATGGATTGAATTGTGTCCCCCAAAAACATGTGTTAACTTGGCTGGGCCATGATTCCCAGTATTGTGTGATTGTTTACCATTTTGTCATCTCATGTGATCATCCCATGTGTTGTACATCCTACGTCTATGATGTTAATGAGGCAGGATTAGTGGCAGTTATGTTAATGAGGCAGGACTCAATCTACAAGATTAGATTGTATTTTAAGTCAATTTATTGAGATATAAAAGAGAAAAGTGATCAGAGAGACAAGGGAACCTCATACTACCAAGAAAGTAGTGCCAGGAGCAGAACGTGTCCTTTGGACCCGGGGTCCCTGTACTGAGAAGCTCCTAGTCCAGGGGAAGATTGATGACAAGCACCTTCCTCCAGAGCCAACAGAGAGAGAAAGCCTTCCCCTGGAGCTGACGCCCTGAATCTGGACTTGTAGCCTACTAGACTGTGAGAAAATAAATTTCTCTTTATTAAAGCCATATACTTATGGTATTTCTGTTACAGCAGCACTAGATAACTAAGACAGATCCTTAACTTAATTACACTTCAAAGATCCTTTTCCCAAATATGGGCTCATTCACAAGTGTCAGGGATTAGGACATGGACATGTCTTTTTGGGGGCCACTACAGGCTTAGTTTGGCTTGTGGTGTTATGAAGGCATGCTAGCGCCCAGGGTTTACTACATCTTTTATGTGGTTTTAAAAACTCTATAATCTTTTTTAGAATTCGTTTAGAACTTCATATCAAATTCATAAGCATCTCTTCCTCAAATATTATTAGTATATTCTGTAATCCTGTCTACCAATCTAAGGTTCTAGGTCAGCTTCCCAACCTTATGTATGCTTCAACATACTGGGGCACTGGGAATTGACACAGGTGGATCAACAAATGGATCCCCTTGGCCCGTGGGGCAGCCAGAGCCCCCAAGCTGGTGGTCTCCGGTTACCCCAGTGTCATGGTTTGAATTATGTCCCCCAGAAAATGTGTGTATCAATTTGGCTAGGCCATGATTC